GAAGACACAGCATACATCAATTTTAAGGGCATATAAGGTCTCAGCAAGCATAGTCTGATTGCCAATTTGACAGAGTATAGACGTTGAAAGCTCTCGTATAGGTAGTTAGTGAGGAGCATAATGCCCTTCGGTGAGATAACTGACAGTCAAGTGACCTAGCAACGTTTGCTTGTGTGTGTGGGGGGGGAAAGGGGTTGGGGTTTGGTTAAGGTACGTTCCAACCCCCAACCTGGAGGGCCAGGAGACTGTGTTCGTCAGACCTCTAACCATTGACCAACCTGGTATGCGAGACTCTGTGAGTGTCACGAGACACTCTCCAGTATAGCTCAATGGATCGCTGAAGTGCGCAAACCGTCACACCACGGTAAGGTCCAGTCTCTTCGTGACGGCATTCTTGTTGCGGCTGCTCACAGTAGGTGCCTTTTGAGCAGCACCAGACTCTGGTTTTAAAAGTACTTTGACCGTGTTGGATAATGCGCCGGCGGTCACGGGCAACTTTTGGGCGATCAGAGTTTGCGCTTTTTGGGGCCGTCCTTCTTCGGGAGAGGGCAGCATCGCTGCTTCTATAAATATGGACACGCTGGCCGCCAGCAGGAAACCTTTACTGCCTTCATACCCTGATCGCAGAGGATAGTATAGTACAGTACAATACCCCTCAGACCGCCTCGTAGTACGATTATTCGTAGTACGGGATCTAGCTGCTCTTGGTCTGACTGTTCCCCTCTGGCCTTCCTGGCATGGTTACACTTTGTGGAACGAAGTTCCAGTCAGAGAAGCCCTGGTTATCGTTGCAGTGCTCAAGCCCGACCACCATGTCAAGGTGGCNTCGACCGTGTTGGATAATGCGCCGGTGGTCACGGGCAACTGTTGGGCGATCGGAGTTTGCGCTTTTTTTGGGCCGACCTTTTCCATGCCGTCCTTCTTCGGGAGAGGGCAGCATCGCTGCTTCTATAAATATGGACACGCTGGCCGCCAGCAGGAAACCTTTACTGCCTTCATACCCTGATCGCATAGTATAGTATAGTACAGTACAATACCCCTCAGACCGCCTCGTAGTACGATTATTCGTAGTACGGGATCTAGCTGCTCTTGGTCTGACTGTTCCCCTCTGGCCTTCCTGGCATGGTTACACTTTGTGGAACGAAGTTCCAGTCAGAGAAGCCCTGGTTATCGTTGCAGTGCTCAAGCCCGACCACCATGTCAAGGTGGCGGCTTTAGGCCGGGGCCCTCTGAATATTTATCCACTAAACACACCAGGGAGAGGCACTCGAAGTTGTTCAGTCTTTTGTATATCTTGGAAGTTGTGTAAGTTCCTGTTATCCTCTGATGGGCACGAATTTTCAGGGTCCGGGTCGCGTTTGCTAGTTTGAGACCTATGGCGTCAAAGCGGTTTATCCCCGAATCTCAATGGACGTGTGTATCAGGCTACAGTACTGGATGTTTTGTTTTATGTCTGTGACTTGCTCTGTTCGAGAAGTGCAACTTCTTAAGGTGTTCAACAATCGTTGTCCCAGAACCATAGTTCGTGTGGATCTGTGTCGGCGAATCCGTAACGATGCAAGTAGAAAGTGAGTTTTTGGTTGTGCGACGGAAACTTCGATTGAACAATGTGTCCAGCACTAGAAGTTGCTTTGGCTAGGACATGTATTGCGTAGGCCTAACCGTCGTTTGCCGAAGAGAGTTTTGCTTTCCGTGCCCACGGAAGCGAACAAGGGGCCACCCCTGACTTGGCAGAGGGGTATGAAAGAGATTACGAAACATTTGGGTGCTGTCGGTGCTACCCGCCTTCAAGGACGGGGACTGCGTGATCCTCACTGCGCCTGATTGTAGACACTGCAGAATATGGCTGCTACTCGATGTAATGGCGTTCTCGTTGTCAGTTTCTATGTAGATTGCCTGAATGGGTGTCTGGAGGTGTAGACACCTCGGATTCATTGCAGTAAGGTAGCACTGATTCTCCTTCCCGCCCACTTTTATTTTCACTCCACAATAAGGCTTTTAAATTAATCATGGTTGTACGGCAGTGAAGCATTAGTGTTGAACACTGATGTCTTTCTGCTGGTTCTGTTAGGTATCGGATTTAAAAACCATAAAGTAAGACTGCTCTTACAGTTACCCTGTATAAACGACCCTTCGGTTTCAGGGAAACTCTCCTTCGGCACCACAAAAATTTTGCAATTGACCTCCTGCTGGTCTTGTAAAGACACTTAGTGGCATGGTTAAACGCTAACCGGAAGGGCTTACCGCTGTGTGAATAGGAGGTTGATGAACGGCAACATTCTCGTACTCGTGCGAATAATAACCATGATAATCCATTCGGTTGCCAAATACCTGATGATCGTAGGGACTATTTCTTCAAATTCCAGAGAACTCGAGATACGTCAGAAGTTTAGGTGTGAAATACTATCTGGGATGTCTGTATCTCAAATTCAGTAATGATTTCCTGCTTGCTGCTGTCCAGATCTGAACAGCCTGGGTTTATCGTAGCTCTCGGACTTCCTGTTGGTGGTGTGGTGGTCATGCACCGAAGGGACGTCACGTCTAATAGTTTTGCTTTTTTCTTAAGGTGTATGACAGTGTAACACTAGTATTCAAATTTGGTAATTCCACAGTCGTTCCGATGTTCTGGTGACAGCGACTGGGGTTTTAAACCTCAGTTCTTATGAGTACTTTGCAGGACATCAAACCCAGGCCTTTTTGTGACATTGGGTCAGATGGGTAGAACGCTTTTTTCACACTACTCTGGTCTCTCCTTGCAGCTTGTCAAACTCCGGATCTGTTATGAGTGGTCTAGAAAACGACCCCCTTCCGGAAAATGAAGAGTACAATGTATTCCCTTCCAACAGTAGCACTCTTTTTTTCGAGGATCCGAGTACAAAGGTAAATCCTCCTTGTATTTGAACTGTAATATGATAAAACTCAGGTCACTTCTATGTGCTCGCTTTCCAACATGTTGTTCCTTGGCACAAACCGTGGGTAAGTGAAACGCCTAATTTGTAATGTTCTTCTGCAGCACCGTTACTCAGTATATTCTGGAAGAGTGTGAAATGAATGAGACAACCTTCTCCTACGTCGAACTACTGGCTAGAACCATCAGCGTAGGTTATTTGAGATATTCCTACGCAAGAGCTTTCACAGGATTCAGATGTTGTTCGGATGGACGCATGCACTGAGCTCAGACTATTGACACTCTTAAGCAGCAATGTCGTCTGTGTTTGTGATGCCGAGCAGCTAGAGGTTTGCAACAATACTCGTTTATTTTACGACAGATGGTTAACTTTTTCCCAACTTGTCGTGGGGTTTCCACTTTCCAGTTGCAGCCAGACGGCGCACAGACAGCCAAAGTAGATTGTCGGTTGTTCATCACCCTTTTCGTCCAGCTTTGTTTAGCTTTTCATACTCGGTTCATCCAAATTTATCGAATTACACCTACAAATGCTTCACTCGTCTTTGAACACAAACTTTCTGTTTTGCCCAGCTCTCTGGTAAGGATCCGCAACAACTACTGTTACACAGGTTCAGTGTGTTGGGGAGAATTTTCTATGTTTCGCCACTGAAGGCCGTTATATATCGTTAAATCTGCATACAAAGGCTACCACCGACCTGTTTTCCTATGACCAGCAACAGAACAGCAGACCGTTTCTGGCGCTAGTAGCAAATGTATGTTAACTGATCATTTGCCTTCGTGAACTCATTCTTTACTTTCCAGGATGAATTCCTTATCTCCGGCCCCGGATCGCTTGGAGTCATCGTGGATGCGAACGGAACTTCTCACAGACCACCTTTACAGTTGTCTCCAAACGTGTTGAGTGTTTTTGTTTGGAAGGAATATGTGTTTTCGTTAACCGATGAGTTTTTTACAATACACAGGTGGGTACCTGTTGTGATTGCGTGCTTGCTTGTAATGTATTGTTTGAATTTTGGTGACCAGGCAGCTGTTTTTACTTTTTTTTAAGCGTGCACTGCTTTCGTACGCCTGGATATGGGATGTTCTTCAGTGACTCATCATTACGAAATGAAATCATCTTTGCTTTCAGCTTTGTTTCAGGTCGGTTGAACGATTCATACGTTACTAGTACATATTTATTGCTCCAAAGATAGCTAGACAGTCAAAATTGCTGCTCTTTCATTTATCATACTTGTGTGAATCACTTCATCGTAGTGGTAGATGTCTCACCATGCCAAAGCGGTGCTGTGGTTTCATGCAACTAGAAGTCCACTTGACAGCCACATGCGGTTTGACCTTATAGAGTATCTCGCATCGTTTGTTCACGTATGGTTGATCTACACTGCAGTGGTGTTGTGGATGGTTATCCAAAGTGCACATGTTTGTTACCGAAAACGCATCAAAACGACTGGCGAAACAGAATTTACTGTTTATTCTTATCGTTAGAAACGCTGTTCCCAAACTGAACTAACTTGGCTTCAAGCTTCCATCTGGTTCATCAAACGAACCGCAACCCTAAAAACGTCTATCCTCACTGGAGGCGTACAACAAAAGCCTGCGGATTGAGTTAATTACGCTTTTTCACTAACGAATCCATGTTGCTCGCAATCCGGTTTGGATTGGCTGTTTCTGAAAACCATTTCGAATTTTTCGTTGGATTGCATCAGGCCTGTCAAATTAACAGGCCGCTCATGAATTGGGCTGTTAGGAGTAATGTTGTTCAAAGACAGTAAGGGGAACTGATCCCATGAAATTGATTTTGAATAAGACTAGATGTAGAGACAGTGATAAACACACAACCGATAGTCTATCTGTTATGTAGGCTGCATACCCATGCTGCCCGTTTTATTCGCATCGAAATGCACTGCACAATGTAGGAACTTCAAAGCTGTATTACTGACCAAAGCAATTTTCAAATGTTAGTGCATTCTTTGGAATGCAAAGTCCGATTACACGTAGTATGAATGGGAGGATACCCGAGATAGATTCGCTTAGTCTGTGGGCGCTGTAAGTGTTTTGGATGGCAAACCATTATGGTTCGAACTATTGTTACCAATTCTAGTTCCGTGTTTTATCCATGTAGACTTTCCGAATTCCGTATGAACGCTTGGCACAATGTGGTGCATCGGTGTTGAACACTAATGGCATGCCGTCGATGGTAATGATGATGACAGTCTGCTCACTTTTTGTGCCCCCAGACTGGCAGACCAGCAAAATCTGCAGACGACACCAAAGAAGCATCGTCAAATTGACCACTAAGACTTATTCATTAACAATGAGTGGTCGGAAGTAAGACGACTGACTCAAGATTGGCTGTCTGACCAACATCACGCATTCAGTAAAAACATTCTGGGTCTTTAAGATTTTGGTATTTCTTTATGCTTGACCACGTTATGGACTCACGTTATGGCTATATGCTTAACAGCATATGTGAACTACAGCTGACTGCATGCTTGAGAGCAGGAAGCTAGTTTCTAACTTACACTGATGTGGTATGAGCGCAAACTTACTTACCGGAAGGTCCGTGGTTCGAACCCGACCTCTGCATCTCCTGGCTAGACTTAGGCAACCTGGCAGAATCTCAGCCGTCGCGTTTCCTTCGAACGCCATGACAGCAAGGTGCTGAAAGGATGTTACAGCTGAACGATTTTTTAATTATACTATTGTAATCTGGAGGAATGTTCAAATGATTAATCCTTATGGGGTGAGTTATTCCTGCGTTTGAAAGCTGTGTTTGATGACGGATATATCATCCTTGTATTTGTTGGTGAAGTTTTGGGATATGCACAACAGTAATTCGTAGAGCGCTGAGCAGTATTTGGGGGGGGGGCGGTATGACGTCAACGGAGCTTCCTACACCTGGTTGGTCACTGAATCGAGAGTAAGAATTGGAATATCTGTTGCACTCTACTTGAAATCTTGTTCCACGGTGCTAATATGGCGCAATCATTAGAAGTCACGCAGCCGGGCTGGTGGACGAAAGGAACCGGACTCCTAAAACGAAGATACTCAACGAACCAACCAGACACAGGATAATTGGGCCACAACGCAACCCAAATCCCTAAAAGATCAATCAAATCATGTACTAGCTAATCTCCGAACAACCAGTAACGTTGCACTTCCACTTACAACTGATTGATGATATCACCTCGACTTGCAACTAAGTCACCCAGCTTAGCGAACAAACCAACTGCGATGCCGTCGGAAAGTCGTCTTCTTATCATGTCTAAAAAACACCTGCCAATAAAAGTCCAGGTAGGTTGCTCAGTGTCGTGCTATCAATCTTTTGTGCGCCTAGCCTTCAAGCTCAAAGCGAATGGTTTCCGTAAATACGAGGATTAGCTCTTTCGAATATTCTACAATAACATGTGTGGATATTTTGTGTGCTACAGTGAGTCTCGCAAATACTCGACAGTCTGGTGCAAAGGAATATTACTGTATAAAGACATGACATCAACAGAAGACACCTTTTGCGGACGCTCTAAGATTGGTCTAAAATTTATGCGAGTTGAAAAGAATCCTTTGTACCATGATTTGTAAGAGCATTTAAAATTTCGACCATCTGACCAGCTTTTGGTAGGCAAAATCATGCATGGCCACAGTGAGTCTCAGGGGAATCTCATCCCTGTATTCTAAGTGATACCCATGGGTACCACGTGGAACCCTGGTCCATGAGCAGCAAGCGGGATTTCCACCCGATGAAGGATGTGTCAATCACATTTTCAAACTCTATCAGCTGTTAGATCAGTGGTGAATGTACAGAGGACCTGCAGCCTTGGTGTTCCCTGACTTAAAGTGTCCATCAGTTCTTGTTGGTTGATCAGTTCTTCTTGTCTTGCTTCAACAAGAAATACCCAAGTGTGTGGGAAGCCGAGTTATATAATGTTCATTCTTTGAACGTGCTCTTGCGCTTTAAGGAAAAGCATTCGAGGCGATGGAGGACTCTTTTCTTTCAACGTCTTCCGCACTGTAACAAGAACACCCCCCCTGAATTCATCCTCCCACACTTGAATGCGTAAATTGTGGGGATAGTAATTCCGGTGTCGTTCGGAACGCAGATGACCCTCTATTAGCACAAAAAAATATGCACCCAGTGTGCTTGTATACTCGCTTTGAACTACTTGTGAGTAGCGACAACAAAGAGGATATCTACCTCCACATGTCTAATCTGGCCTCTGGTCAGGAAAGTTTCCATGACGAACGTTGGTGCCCGTGGCCAAAACGTCAGATTGCACAGGCTCGTGGAAAATTCGAACAGCGCTGTGGATATCTGGCGACCAACGCTGTGTTGCGCACGTTTGCACCTGTCACTAAGCGAGACCCTTTAATCGCAGCGGGTTCATTGCTGTAACACCTGGTGAAACTCGGTGGAAAATTCGAACAGCGCTGGGGATATCTGGCGACCAATGCTGTGTCGCGCACGTTTGCACCTGTCACTAAGCGAGGCCCTTTAATCGCAGCAGGTTCATTGCTGTAACACCTGGTGAAACTCAGCTGAATGCCGGCGAATATTTTCTGGATCGCTCGATAGCAGCACACATGCCTGTAGAGCCAGGTGAGCACACGGCAGTTTTTCTCAATGTCTTAGTTGGACAACAAGTGAGGAACAACCTTGTCGTATATCAAATCTCATGCACGAGTGCATGAGAAGCAGTGAAGCGTCAGTGCCAACACTGATGTTGCTCTCTTTGATGATTATGATGATGATGCACTCGTGACTGTAGCTATGGATGCGGAAAAGGATAGACGCCGCCGTAAGGGCTTCTTTTACCCGATAGGGGTTTGTGTTCCTGCTACAGGGCTACCGATGACAGGTGGGTATGTTGTGTAAAGAGTGTGCCTACATCAGTACCGGAGCCGCGTCTTTCCAATGCACGTGGCGGCTGCTTATGGCTGGTAATAGACATGTACTTCGTGAACCTGTGGTGATATATCGTTGCCCGAACATTCTCATAGTTTCTTCAAGAACAGTGAGGAACATTAATGTCTTGGATATCTCTTGGTCAGCTCGGTAAATATATAATGCTCAAAATTGGAACTCATTACTCAACCTAATTGCTCAACGGCTGTTTGGACCATTTGACAGTCAGTTTTCTGTCTCTGCTCTTTTTTCTAATCATAATTCAACAGCCAATCATAACTGCTTATTCCGCTATGTAGCTGTTTTAAACATAAGTTATGCACTGATCTGATAGCGTGGTCTCGGACGTAGTGGAGTTCATGATAAGTGCAGACAACACAGGCCTCATAGACGAATTTTACTTCTGAAAATCGCAGCTCAACAACGTCGAAAGTTGACTCATTGTTTTCAACTGAGGATTGGCCGAACATTTCGAAAGCAGTTCAGCTGGCCTGCTGCAACACAGCCTGTGGAGATAGTGCATACGGTCGAATGGAATTCAAACCTTGGTCGCCCGTCGTAAGATGAAATAGCGTACGAAATATCCGTACTGAAACGTGACAAGGTAATAGGACCGGACGGTCTGTATCCAGCCCTCTTCAAAGAAGGCAGAGAATTTCTGGTGACCCAGATGACAAATCTGATTGGTGCTATATGGAACGAAGAGAAGGGCGTGTCGACAATTATTCCTATCTTCAAAAAGGGTACGCGAACGCTGTGTGAAAACCATCGTTGCATCAGCCTGTTAGCTATGGCATCGAAGGTGCTCTATGGTCATATTTTTCGACAGTTGACTGAACACAGGGAGAAGCAGATTCGCGAAAACCCAACTGCATTCCGTCGTGCAAGAGGATGCATCGATCACATATTCACCCTTTGACAGATTCTTGAACAGCGACCAACAATGGTTGTGTTCCCATAAAGGAAACTACTCACAAGGTTGCTGAAAACTCTTCGACAGCCCACGACCAGTTTAGCCGTTCTTGGGGCTCATCAGGTAGGCGCAGTCCCCGAGTTTCCATCAACATTATGTTCCACTTGAACCTAAATTGGACTGTTTTTGAGAAATACACTCATTTGGTTTTCACGAGAGACTCAACTGAATCTCTCGTTTATGATATTCTATAATTGAATGTGCTGCACACAGACCACCTCGTGTTTCAGTTGGCACGACATTCGAGATATCGCTGTATATTTTCATAAGGGAAACTACTCACAAGGAAAAGTCCAATTTGGGTTCAAGTAGAACCTAAGGTTGATGACGGAAACTCGGGGACTGCGCCTACCTGATGAGCCCCAAGAAGGGCGAAACCGGTTGTGGGCTGTCGAAGAGTTTTCAGAAACCTTGTGAGTAGTTTCCTGATGAAAATATATGGCGATATCTCGAACGTCGTGCCAACTGAAACATGAGACGGACTGTGTGCAGCACATTCAGTTGTAGAATATCATAAACGAGAGATCCATTTGAGTCTCTCGTGAGAACCAAATGGTTGTGTTCCTTCATCTAAAAGCTTCGTTTGACTCTGTGGGCTGTCAGGCACTATGACTGTCTGCGCAGTAAATTCTCGATCCTCTAAGGTGCTGTACGCCATCTGCCGCGGCCGTGTCTACGGGAAGCTCTCTTCTGAATTTACCACATTAGGCGGTGTCAGACAGGGCTGTCCACTTCCACCTTTCCTCTTCAACTTCGTCATTGATATGACCATCGAAGACTCACTATCAGCCTGTGGGATCGAAGTGCTCCCGGGGCGTCCCCTCATAAATGTCGAGTGCGCAGGCGACATAGCGCTTCTTGGATCTGACTCGTGGTAATGCAAACAACACAAAATAATCTAAATGATCCCGCCTCACGGTTTGGCATGCGTTTCACAAAGACGATGATGAAGATGAAGATGATATTTTCACCCAGATTGGGAAGACCAGAGCAGCTTTTGTGGGCCTGTGTCACATGTGGCGTAGGCGTGATACCAGCCTATTCGTCAAGGTCGAGTTTACAATGCTGTGGTGCGCTCCATATTACTGTACGGATCAGACACCTGGCCGCTGCGCACCGAAGATATCAAAAGACTTTCAGAGTTTGACCAGCGAAGTATTGGCAGGGTGGGAACACCGAATAAGCAATGCTGAAGTATGTCGAATGGCATTCGGAATAAATAATTCACCTTCGATAGATGAACTGATCACACTTTATAGGTTGCGCTGGCTTGGCCACGTGCTCCGTATGCCAGTCGACTGAATTCCTAGAAGAGTTCCTTTCGCACAACCACTTGAAGGGTGGAAGAGTACCGGAGGCGGTCAAACAATGACTTGGCAGCGAAGTTTGAAAGCCATTACCAGCAAACTCAGCTGCGCTGGTCACTGTGGTCTTCCTGGATGGGGACCCCGAGACGGGCCACATCATTTGTTAGATACATTATCAGACATGGCCCGTCGCGCTCTCAGTGGCGCTCGTACATCCAACGTATTGCCTTTAATGCATAGCTTCCTTCTCATTTCTTCCACTTGACTGCTCACTGACAGTGTTGTAGTTACGCACCAATTTGTCAGCTCCCGCTTCCAATGCGCAGCTGCTTACCCACCTCCCCAAGTCATCGGTGAACGAAACCGTGGCAGTCACAACCACTGTACGACAAGTATGCGGTTCTTAAAGCTGACAGTGATGATGATCGTGATAGGAAAGAAGGATTTCAAAGCGGCCGAAATTACAATGTTTTCTTTGGTCTAATGTAACTTCATCAGCGTCTTCACGTTATTGGTGGGACTCCGAAATTTTTTCAAACTTGCCGTGTATATTTGACGTTTGTTAGTTTTCTTACACACTTAATTTCCCTCACGACTTTTCAGTTTAAGAATGGTGTTTTGTGATTTTTCGGCGTAGGAAGTCGAAATCTGTAGTAAATCCGGTGGCAGTATGTCTTGAACGTCCGATTGTACGTAGTTGAACGACAACAGACAAGGTCAGGAAAAACCGGTGGCCTGTGTATTGCATTGTGTAGCTTCTGCTTGCGTAATCATCAGGGTGAAGTTTGTTACATGTTACATGCGGTGAGTCGCCAGTGTTACTTTCAATGAGAATGATGACCAGTCTTCTGCGAGTGTGTCTTATTGAAAATGCCCGCGTTTTCGGCCAACCATACCAGTACATGCTTTAAGATTGTCATCCTCGTGGAGACACATGGATCATGTGTTCAAGTGAGTGGGTGTGTATCGAGGCAGGCACTTCATCAGGGACTGAATATAGTTGGTACAGCGTTTGTTCTTGTCCGGACCATCTTTGTGGGCCACGTTAACGCCGAACAGATACTCATACTAATTGTACCATGATTCAAAAGTGACACCAAGTTGAAAGTCACCCAACGGTTTATCTGCCGTCAGGGACGACCGGCTGTTATTTGTCGCAGCGACCCGTCGTTCTATAGTTTCCGTCTGTTGTTACAACAACTCCACGGCAAATGCACTGAGATAAGCCCCTTTCACGTTTGTAACTCTGAACTGGAAAGCGTTACTTAGAGGTGGTGCCTCAGTAGCACAGAACAGCAAGACTATCGCCCGGATGAGACAACTGAACTAAATCATAAATACCGTCTTGAGCTTCTCATCAGTTGGATCTGATTTAATGGGCTTAGATTGGACTGTTGACTGTCCTTATGTGGAAATGTTTGGTGCCACAAGCGAAGCCAGGTATCAGACCGAAGTGAACGAATTAACCATTCATCCGAAAAAGCAATCAAAAACCCAACTTATGTATATGTGAACACAACATAAATCGCACGGTTTGTCCAGTTAGCGGCAAACACTTCTAGACGAATGTTTCGCTTTTGACTGGCGTTTTCTGATTCTGACTTGGTAGGCTTACGTATTCCTGGACTAGAACATATGTTACATGTCTGAAAATCTTTCAAATAAAGCTGACCAGTGTTCTCATTGTCCTGATAACTCATCTGGAAGTCAACCCTAGTAGGTATAACTACCACACTGATCCTAAGCTTGGAAATACTCCTCTACCATCTGAAAATTTAGTTAAACAGTTTTGCGCAACCGGCTGTGAAACTGAACTTTCTCGCACGTTTCTGCTATCCCAACTCCACTCTCTACTGCCGATTTTTTTTAAAGACGAGGCTAGCAACAATATAACTAAACCGTAATATTGTATTGTTTCCGTTGCGACGTGGACAATAAAAGCGTACCCTATTAAGGATAAAAATGTGAAGGTAATTATTGGCCAATTTCATCATCTCCAAGCGCTAGATATACGTTCTTACCAGCTATCGATTGTGGTTGCTTCTTTTCAGTCATCGGCTATGGGCAAGTATCTAAATTGGGAAAAGAATTCCTTATTGAATTTGAAGTTAATTTGGCTGAACTGAGAGGCAGTCTTCGAGCCTCTCCACGTAATTGAGACTCCGAGACAAGTTCTTCAAGGGTGGAACCACAGATTCTCTGTTCAACAGCGATACTAGTAAATTACAACGTCAAACATGTCATTTTGTTGTTTCCTCTTTATCCTAGTATTTTCAACCAGAAACAATTGCAGACTGTGCTTCTTCCCAACGCGATCGCTGGTTGCTTCTCGTCTCGCAACCCGCACTTGGTGTTCGTCGCCTACGTATCCAAAGCAAGTGGTCTTGTAGACATTTTGTCCATTGGCCCGGAGCGTTGGGACCGATTTGCTCGCAAACTAATTTTGGCCGGTTGTTTACAGCAGGCGAAACAACTCGTACAGAGAGAACAGCAGCGTGTTGAAGACATCTTTCAAGCACAACTGGCTAGCAGTAAAAATGAGCAGAGTGTGTTCTCCACGGTATGCTTTGGTTTATTTTGTTTCTCCATTTCGTCATGAGAGATACTTGTTCCACCTTTTTAAAGCTATCGAGTTGAATTAACCCTCTTTGTACACCCCTTTATTTTCATAAGTGTACTTCAAAAGAGAACGAGTTTATGGTGGTTTTTGTCTTAGGATGTGGCATGAATTTGTTATGAAACCTAATTGAAAACCTTCACGGAGGTCATTCAACGACTGCATAGTCTGTTTTGGATCTCCATGAAGGATCAAATTTTTAGTGGACCTGTTGACTGAGTAAAGATGCATCTTTTCGACAAAATTTCCCCCACTGTGCCTTCCCTAACATGTAACAAACGAAACGGCCTATTGGTTGATGATCACGTGGCTGACGATCTGTTTGCCGAGCTTGGCAGTTAATATGCAAGTGTTTCATCACCATTCGTCAACTTACCATCACTGCACATCGGTGGTGACGAAACGTTTGCAAGTCGGTTGCCACGCTCGGCAGATCAACACCACCTGAGCAACAACCAATAAACTCACTCGAGGTACCAGTTTTCCGACATATTACCAGAAACCTGACCACTTTACTGCACACAATCAATTGTGCGATGGAAGGAACTTGCATACGTGATGATGCCTCGAATGGTACATTGGCACCTCAAACAGCAAAGACTCTGGCGAAACAGATTTAGTCCTGGAAATTCTTGCTTGCCTTTTCTAATTCGCACCGTCGAAGCTAGCCGACCTCTAAAAAAAGTGAACTTTTCTGCGCTAGCCGAATCGCTCGTCGCTTCGCGCAGGTCTAACTAAATTATTTGCTCACCTAATTGTGTTTCTCAACTGAAACACAGTTTGCATTTTGTGTTGATTTACACATCCACGTGGCTTATGCAAGTAAGCTCAGTGATCAAGCGATGAAGCTAATGACAGGAGAAACGGTGGTTCGAAATCAACCTTAAATTTTCTACCCCTTGAAAATCCCAACCCTATATCAACCTCCATGCTTCTTTCGAGTTGTGGAGCAGCAATGCGTCTAAAGGGTGTCAAGTCTGTACAACTTGATCCAACTCGTTAGGTTCTCGGACTAATGCACAATGTATATGTATCTTATTTGTCTTTACCGGATCCTTTGACTGCTTAATGTTGATAGGCAAGCGACTGGTGTTGCTAGAGACATTGTCAGATATGGCCCAGTCGCTCCCTCAATGGNTTGCTCATATGCTGGGTATGCAATTCGACGGACGCTGTCAAAGTTTTCTTTTCGCGCAAACACGTTAAGGTTGGAGGCGAGCAAGAGGTGGTCAAACAATGACTTGGAAGCGAAATAGTAAAGTCTTCACCAGCAAATTTGGCTGTGCTGGTCATTACCGTCTTTCCCGATGATAACCTCAATACGGGGCCCCCTCAGTGCCGTGACTTGCATCCTTGCCATTGCCTTCAATGCGTAGTTCCCTGCATAGCACCCCCCCAAATCACCGGTGAACGAAACTGCGGTAGCTACAACCACTGTACGACGAGTACGCGGTTATTACAGCTGACAATGATGATGATGATGACTGGTGTTGCTCCGGGAAAGCTGTAGTTTGCAGAAAACTAATTGCCGGCCACGTAAGAATTTTCGCTTACTACAGAGTACTCAAAGTGCGAAGTCCAAAATGAAAAGGCAACTAGTTGATACTATGCGGCGATGTTGTGGACTAGGGAATTCTGCATTCATAACAGGATGCGATAGGAAGAAAGCTTGTTTTAGTAATATGGTCATGGCGTTGGCAGAAACTTAACTTTCCTAAAGCGTTCATACGGAAAGTATAATGCCGAAACGAATATGCGGCTTCAGGCAGCACATAGCTGACCCAGTAGTGGGTTCGCTGTGAGATGACTCTATTTGTTTACATTCGATTAGGTAAATTCCCCACTGAAAAGTTTGCTTTTCACCGTAACAAACAGATTCGTACGCAGACTTACCTATCACCCTGTCTCTCCGGTTAGAATTGTGTTATGTAAAATTGTGCGCATATAAATATATATAAATGCGCATAAATGTTTCCGGTCATTTGGTTTGTTACTAGTACGCTCGTTGGCTTGAGAGGTTATTTGTGAATCTTGTTCACAATTGATCTCGTCCTCCCTCCAGGAAGCGCAAAATCGTGTTCGGTTCTAGCAGTTTGCTCTGTTGGGGGTCTATTGTACAATCCCTGGAAACATTGTGCCTCCTCCCGTTAAACTGTCTTTCTTTCTCACTTGTTTGTGCAATGACGTCTTGTATTCGTCGGTGGAAATGCGGTGTATGTTTTTGTAACCAAAACTATTCCGCAGTAGGATACGTCGCTCCAATACTGTATCTCAATATTTTTTCTTCCCTTCTTGTTTATTCAGAGATCTCGTCGTGTGTATGGTTTGGTCGGGTTTTATCATTTTGAACAGGGTGATTTCCAGCACGCTGGACTCTTTTTCGAGAGGTCCCTAATGGATATCCGTGAGGCAAGTCTCGTGTAATATTGGTGATTTTTCTATATAGCTTTATTTTCTGTGCATATTCGAAACAGCCTCACCGAATAGGACTAACTCTCCGTAGACTGAGGTCTGATATGAGAATGATTTAGCACAGCAGAAATCACCGACTGCACGAGTGGTACCAATTGCCGGTCGAATTTCGGACCGGTCTTCTTGGTCTTAAAAGACTTTCTCTAAGACGTATTACTTCCATCAAGGTGAAAAAGTGGAATGGTGTGCCGAGTGCTCTATGCCCTGTCTCATATACAGTTCATTTTTACAGTTACTCAGTTATAAACGGTGTGCAAGAGTATAATGGTTCCAGCTGCTACAGTTTTGTTCACCGAGGATCAGGAGAATGCGGGAATGACAATCACGCTTTGGAAGCCATGATCCAGTCACTTCGTTGACGTTAAATGGTTCTATTTGTCCCCATATTGCATGCAGCGAGAGAGGTGCGTACTAAAGGCATTAGCTTTGATGCATGACCACCATTGGCTGCATAACAATCATATCTTTCAAGATCACTAACCATTGGTTTGTCCCTTCCCGGAGTCTCCATCCGGAGCAATGACAGTTATCAGTGCAACTGATTTGACCGGTAAGGTCTTTCACGTTTTATTACCAAGCCATGGACTGACCTTTTCTGATGTGTCCTTATCCGATACACGACTAGGTGAAAAAAGTTCTGCGAGGCAAACGAGATGACCCAACCAACGTAACCTATGGGGTGTGACCAGCTAATCTATCGGGGGAGAGTTACCTTTTCCGAAAACCCTCTGGCTTACCTAAGAATTGCAGATTCGGTGTTCCTACCAGATTTGTGTAATCTTTCGGAGATATCGATAGTTAAGCACATAGTCTTCTGGATGCAGTGGCTATGTCTCTGATCCGAATAGGAGGACAGATCGAGCCACAGTAGCGTGTACTCAACCCTTGACAGCTAAACTGATGTCACGGACCCACAAATGTCGGAGGTTGGCAAATTTTTTCCTGACCTTCCCGATTCGGGAGGTGATTTCATCATTCGCCAGTTCACCTTAGCTGCGCAGATAAACGACCTTATCTACTCAATTGACCGCGAATCTGACACTCTCGATGATAGATCAACCCACGTGGGATAATGGCAAGAAGCGACTTGTAGAACATGTTCACTAGACTAAAACCCCATTGGTTTGACGTAAGATTTTCTTGCACCCTTCTTAAATATTGGAACTACCATCAAAGCACTGCTTCCTCTCCGGTTTTGCGTCATCAAGCTAGCCGCAAACGATTCAGCACCTTTGAAAAGTACGGGATGCAAACTGTCTGGACCAGGCGCTTTGTCGCACTTAGGCGATGAGATTTCAAACTGAACTGGCGTTAGCTTTCCATATGGTTCTACCGTTAAATTCGTGGGAGTCAGTCGAACTCTTCTTCACAGTGTTCAGAGTACCGTTTAGTGTGAATGAATTGAGATTCCATCCTTTTCGGAGAATTTTTGCCAACAACTCCCTCCTCCTCCTTCCCCCCCGAAACATTTGATCAGGTTAGCTGGAATGGGTTTCATGTTGCGAGAGCTTTCTCAACTCCATAGTTTCTTCGCTGTTCGGTCTTTTAGGGATGTGAGCGCAACATCATAGTCGTTTTTCGGTGATATCATCATCATCATCATCATCATCATCATCATCATCATCATCGATGTAGTTTTCCTGACATCAATGAAGGCGGCTGATCGTGCGAAGATCCACTGCTCATTGGCGTCTACAAGCGATTTGGGGCAGACGAATTTTACTGGTTATTTAAGCTTTTCAACTAGCTCAACTCTTTCATGTTGGATTGTCAGGGCGCTTTGTATTGACTTTGTGTCAGGTTATGTCAGCTTGCGTACTCTCGAGGGGAAGCGAATTGCTACGCATGTCCATACAAAACCTGAGTCGGTCGACCTGGGCATTTGTATGACACGCTAGAGTCACAGTATCTATACCTATTCCTGACCGAAGTAGCCTCAGAGCTACCGTCTGTCGAAGAGTGTTGATACTACAAATAAGCACGTCGATACGCAATGACCTAAATTGAGCCAGTTAGCGTAACGGCTCAAAGGTGGCTATTAGCTTCAATCCGATCCAGTTTAGCGCACTTAACCGTGGAGCTAAACATAACCTCTACACCGTAGATGCCGCGAGCCACTGCACCACGAAGATTAAACAGCGAGAAATCTGGGTTCGTCCCGACCGGTTTGGGATGTATAACCGAACTAAGGCTTTATATACGTGTTTCGGAATCACAGCGTACATTGGTCTAAGGGGGAAACAAGGTCTGAGCAAGAATTATCTGTTGACCATTTGGACGCGTATAAGAAAGCCACAGTGTGGAACGAATTTTTCAAATTCCATAAGGGTTTAGGGTTAATTTTTTTATTTTACTGGGCAGTTTATATGCCAGGCAACGGTTAGGTGAGTGACAACTTAGTAAATCAGAAGGACTTAGTTGGTGGTATGGAGAGCAGCCAGTGAACGAGGAGTGAATGGCACTTCCCTGTTGCATAGGTCCAAGAATAAATTTTGGCTGAGGTATCCCACCGTGATCTTTTGACTCAATGGTCTGGCGCACGAGGCAGTGGGAGAATTTCGGATTCTTTCCAGAGACCCCTGCTCTAGCATATGACTCAAAAGTAAGGGCCGTGGAGCAGCGGTTTTTTGGATTTCTTGAGACCCCGCTGTTGCTTCAGTAGTCTGAACCACTTGGCTGCAGAACGATGACCCAGATCGAGTGCGCAGGAAACAAAGCACTGGTCTCTCACTCGTGATGCTACTGTGCATGGTCGTTGTGTTTGGAGCCGCATGGGGCTTGTCGCAAGGTTTATGTTTTTCAAGTGCATTAGATAATTCACCGGCGATCACGGTCAACCTACAGGCGACCGGACTGTGCGGTTTTTAGAGTCGGTCTTTTCTAACTCGTGCTTCTTCGGTGTTTCCGCAGTTATGAACATGCTGGTCGCCAGGGGGGGAGGAAACGCCTTACCGTTTTCACCCTCCTGTCACAGTAAACAGTACGGCTTTACACTTCATAATACGATTTCGCTGTTTTTTGTCTGGCTGCTTTCGGTTGAACCTCTTAGCATCGTTAAATTTCATCCTAGGTAACCCTCAGGATTATTGTGACACTAAAGCCTGACAACAACGCCAAGGTATTGGTTTTATGTTGGGTCTTATCTAAAATAGAGCTGGTCTAGCCACAGCCCAACATTGTGCTTATCGCAGAAGTAACCGTGAAGTTTGCATCCTTAATTATTTGGGTAGTTAGCTGAGCGTTGATAATACGTCTCTTCACGTGCCTGCCTCGCCCTTAATCGGGATCTGTAGCACGGTTTATTTCTTCCGCTGAATCATTTAGGTTTTCTGAGATCGTTGGATGAATTCTGCTTCAGGAACTTTTCATGACTTTACGTGTTGCCCTCAAGCTGGAGGTTGTGTGACCAAAGCATACAGATTCCTTTTGCCATATGGCTCTTCGTCACATCGGTCAAAAGAGTTGAGGCTGTCCTTAAACTTCGTGACGTCCTTCCTCTGTGCTTGAATACTAGTTGGGTCCCGCCGGTCGATATGGACTGCAATTTAACCCTATGTAACCCCCCCTGTTTATTTCGTTTTAGCTGCTCTGTCGCTACGAAAACCTCCTACCGAATAGATTCGCATTTGCACCTCATTGGTTCTACAACCTCAGCTGTCAGAAACCAACTGATGATGATTCGAACAACATTCGCCGAGTCGCTGAACTATGCTTGTCTCATTCGATCGATACCAAAGGACAACCAAACTTGGCCGCGAATGCCACCTGGACCGTGCGATACGAACAGTTTTTATTCTCTTTCCTACAGAAACATCATAAGAGCAAATTCACGGAGAAATACATGCATGTAGGTTGTTTGATCCTGTGTATATGTGCATACAGTTTGACACTCAGTTTCCATTAGTTTATGATACATAATGTCCTTGACCCAGATTGACGTCTGTCTGTCTTTGAGTACCAGCCGAGGTTAAGCTAGATGCGAATCAAGTCCACCCAGTACCCAGTCGCGCGGCTGTTACTGCATGCAGAAGCACCCAGTACACAGCACTCTTCGACCGGCCGCATCGACGTTCTCCTTATCACCCTACCGTTACGCCAAATATAGGTGGAGTGTAAGGAGATTTGGGAATTTTCGGTGAATATATCGTCAGCCAGTTTATGCCGAAAAGTCGAGAAGCACTGTACAGCTGTCTCATCCTTATTCGCAATCACCGACAGTGCGCATCTCTCGAAACTCCAAGGGTGTCCAGCCTGCGACACCCCGGCTATTGACCGTACACTTAACCGTTGGTCCACGAGCCGCTAACCAGCAGCGCGATGGGCTCTTACCTAGAGAGGTGACTTTTTACTATCATCACTATACAGTCATCTACCGATATGTTCGCAAGCTTTTCCGGCTTCATGCAAGCCCCCATCTTACAAATCGCATCATACTTTTCGAGAAATATACTCATTTGCAAATCAATTTGGTTTTCACGAGAGACTCAATCGAATCTCTCGTTTATGATGTCATGAGGCGGCCTGTGTGCAGCACATTCAGCTGGAGGACATCATAAACGAGAGATTCGACTGAGTCTTCCGTGAAAACTAAATTGGTTTGCAAATGAGTGTATTTCTCGAAAACAGTGCAATTTGGGTTCAAGTAGATCATAAGGCTGACGGAAACTCGGGGACTGCGCCTACCTGCTGAGCCCCAAGAAGGGCGAAACCGGTCGTGGGCTGTCGAAGAGTTTTCAGCAACCTTGTGAGTGGTTTCCTTTATGCAAATATCCTGTTCCATTTTGAGTGAATCAAAAGACTGCAGTTCTGAGATTGAGGATGGATTTTATCAACATGTGCTTCGGTGATATGAATACCCAAGTTGGACGACCAAGGCCGGGAGAAGCACATTTAGGTGATGGATGCTCAGCGTATGGATCATCGTTTGTTCCTGGCCAGTACAAACTTCTAACACAGATGGTCACATCGAGTTACCTGGAGGCCACCTACCACAAGACAATCGTGAACCCAATTGGACCGTGCGTCTATCAGCAACAGATGGGAAGCCTCAGTTAAGCACTATCGTTCCTTCTGGGGTACGCAACTTGACTCTGATCACGCTATCGTGTGGGTGTGGTTATCGCCCCACTTTTCGTCAGCATTAGACGTGCCAAAACAGAGCAGTTCGGTTCATCAAGTTCGACAAGCTTCAGTTGCTCAAGAGTATCTAGCTGATCTGGCTTGAAAGCTACTGGAAACGCGTAGTCATATAAATGACGAAGATTCCTTGGAGATTGAATGGAGACAAGTTAAACAGGCAATGCTCCCAGCTTTCAGAACTGTTTGTCCAGGCCGTCTGACTCGACTGAATGAACACTGGAAAAAGATCAGCCGATCTTATTGCTACCAGAAAAGCCAAGCGGCTGTGATGGTGCACGCAAATCCTTCAAACATCTGATAATCAGGAGCTTGAAGAATGACAAGACCCTGCTGGATGACGGAAGCTCAGGAGCTGGGATAGGCTTTCACCGCAGAAAACGGCCGTGCCCTATTTCATCTGATTCAATCAACCAGACAAAAGAGGGCATTTGTCAGTGAAGCAATATGCGAGAAAGGCGGAACAGCAGTTCACTTCCTCAGTCGTTGTCTTGAGCGGTGATCCGAGTACTTCAAGGGATAATTCACCTGGTTTTCTTTTATCCCAACCTTTGGAAGATTCCAGTGAACTTGAGTGAAATATCGACACTAGGCCACCATCAACAACGGAAGTCCAGTGTGACACCTGGTGCGGATGGTCTGCACTCTACGTTCTTCAAAGAAAGTGGCGAGGTCCTGGTGAACAGTTTGACAATCGTGCTGCAGAAGATTTGGAACGAAAACAGAATACCAGCCGAATGGAGCTCCTCGACCGTTACCCCAGTTTTCAAAAAGGGAGCAAGAACGTCATGTAAAAACTGTCGTAGTATCAGCCTGGCATCTAAGGTGCTCTTGCATTATTTTGCGTAGATTGATCGAATATCGGGATAGAGGTCCGTGAGAATCAAGTGGGGTTTCGCCCTGGCCGAGGATGTACTGACCATATCTTTATCTTAAGACAAATTTTTGAACAGCGCCACTTTTTCAACCGTCCGACGTCGGTTCTTTTTCTTCATCTGAAATCGGCTTTTGGCTCTGTCGATCGTGAGAAACTTTAGCGGTATCAAATGTGCCGTTATGAGGGCGCTGTATGCGAACTTTTGTGGGCGCGTACAAGTATACGGCAAGACTTCGCCTTTCACTGGCCTAAAACGAGTCTACCCCGTCTCACCTTTCCTCTTCAACTTTGTTATTGATGTGCTGCTTGAAATTTTCCTGTCTGTCTCTGGGAGTCAAAATGCTCCCGGAATGTTCGCTTACAGGAGTGTGCGGACGATATTGCTCTCCTTGATTCAACTACTTCAAAAGTGCAAACCACTTTAAGTAACCTCAATAACTCTACCGCATGGTTCGGCGTGCGCCCCACACCTGAAACGTTCAAAGTGCTGCTACAAGACTTGGTTGGATCATACCCAGACCCCATGCTTGCAGGCGAACCAGTCGGTGTGGTAGATAAATTTGTTTACCTGGGCAGTTGTATAATTCCCGATGGACTGGCTGGGGATGAGATCACTTCTCAAACTGGGAAGACCAGTGCAGCTTTTGCCAACCTCCGACACCTATGGTGCCGGCGTGACGTAACTTCGTCTCTCACGGGCAGAGTTTACACTGCGATGGTGTGATCCATATTGCTTTATGTATCAGAGATGTGGCCCGTGCGCGCAGAGAACATACGGAATGTATCAGTGTTTTATCATCGGTGTCTGCGAAGCATTTATCGGGTCTGGTGGGAACATCAGATTGGTAATTCTGAGGCGCGCCAAATGGTCCTAGGAAGAAGGAACTCTCCCGCGATAGATGAATTACTCACACCTCATAGGTTACGCTGGCTTGCCTGGAAACGAAGTATGGGAATACTAACCAGCAAACTTAGTCGGACAGCGTCCCTGGATGGGGACCTTGGGACTCAACTTACCAATGGTTAGTGACACTGGCGGAAACGGCTCAAACGCGCAGTCAGTGGCGCTCGCGCATCAAAACTATCCCTTCGATACGTAGCTGCCCAGTTCCCGACCTAACCAAACATTCCATTGCCTCTAAGGCTTGGCTGTATGTCCCACACTCTCCCCATTCCTCGTGATCGAAACCGTAGCAGATTAAACCAATGTGCCAATGACACACGGTTTATAGCTGATAAGTTGACTGATTGATTGATCGAGGTTTCTTATGCTTATCGCTCAAAAATAGCAATGGTGTTTCTGTGGCTGCCTACTATACTGAATCCTCTTTGAGGATACCAAATAGAATCGTTGACCAATGTGGACGCACTTCCGGTATACCATGGTAGTACGCAGTTGATGACAGGTGGGGAAGAAAGTTGAAAGTGTTAACATGTTAGCATCAGACCAAACTAGGTGGATGTAACGAATGAAGAGTTTAGTATTTTGCGGTAAGACGATATGTCGAAATATTGGCACCTCGGGTGTATTTATGAGTAGTTGCCAAGCTCACCGAACCGGTGAACGATCACCTGATCAACAACCATTTTTGCGATAAGTTAGGGCTAGATTGACCTTAGCAACTCGATTTTCGCGAGTTACTCTCTCACTATTCTTTCCGTTAATGTTGTTCGAAGGGTGAGAAGCAGGTGGCACTGAAGCAGGTTTATAGTTATGATAACATGAATTTCATGTTCAAACCTGTTACTTGCCTATTGGCTATGGTTCGTATGGCCTTGGCTTCAGTAAAATTACTGTTTGATGTTTCCATTAATCCTCGTACTTGGATTACGCGCAATGTCATCGGATTCATCGTTATATGTGGTGATTGTTGTGGTTGTAAATGCTACCGGAAGTTAAACTCCACTTCTTGAGCAACCGTTCATTTCGTTTTGTGGTTGAATGTAGATGTTCCTCGATTGTTCCGCGTGTTCTTCTTCAAGAGTTATTTCGTCCTCCTTGTTTGAATCGAATTCCGGATGCAGGGATACGCCTTGAGGGTGGAAAAGTTCCTGCAACTTATGGCCCAGCTCAGCTGAGTTTACAGCTGTGCCGTCATCCTCTGAAAACTGTCGAGGTACCAGTATAGGCCAGTCATGTATTATCTTGCATTTGGCAGCCACATTTCTCCATTGTATGGTATTCGTTTGTTCTTCCCTGACTCCACATTTCCTCTTCAGATACGGTAGTATGAGGTCCCATCCTTTGATCACAACACACCTGTGACCCCACACGGGATATGGAAGTGAACCTGATTTTGTCCAGCCGGAGGCGCCGTTTTCCGCTGCATGAAAGGTGTAACCCAGCCATAGTGGACCTTGTGATAACGTAGGATCGTTTGCAGTTGTATTGTAGCTTAGCCTGGGTCCAACTCGTGGAATCCATGGCTTCCAGCGTTCCACTTCTGCCGTACAAAAAGTTTCACCACCACCACCGAGGCACACAAGCTCTCCTTCGAAGTAGCATGCCGCAAAATCGGCTCTTTCCGTTGCAGGTGGCATCAGTTCCCACATCTCAGTTTGTGGATTGTATCGCTCCACGGTACTACTGTAACCTGCACTAGCGGCGATACGTATCGCCCCACGGACACCACTCTCACCTCCACCACCGAGAACGAACAGAACACCGTTGACAGCTACCGCCTGTGCATAGTATCTGGCTTGTGCCATTGGTTGAATGAATGTCCACTGATTTGTGTCCGGACAGAATGCCTCGCAGCTGTTAGTGAGTGCTTCCATTCGGCTTTCGGTGTACCCTCCACAGACGTAGATGATGCGCTTTAAACAGTCGGCTGCTGGAGCTCCTCTGGCCATCAGCATATTTGGTGCTACCGACCATCCTCGATGCTCGCGGCGGCTAGTTTCGTTGAGATCGAAGTACTCAACAGTACTGAGCACGGACCTGTTGTTATCGCCACCCAACGCGTAGATGCGCTCTTCACACCAGTTTACTAAAACTAGATCTCTTCTGCTCTCGTGTAGCGATGGACACGGTTTCCAACCCGAACCAGAAGTATGGATGTCTGAACGATGAAACATTAACTGTGAATGTTCCGCTTCAAAGTCATAGCAGATTACTGCAGAGGTTGTTCTTTTGTCTGACTGTTCACCACCAGCTATATAGATATATCGGTTTTGTACCACAACGATTCCAAAACTCATCAAAGCGTGCGGTAATAAAATTCGGTCGCTCACGCCAGACTCACACGCTATCCATGAATCTTTTCTTGCATCGTATACGTACACGTCTTGGCACGGTTCACCTGCTTTCCATCCACCAAACGTGAAAATTGCTTCATGGGGTAGTCGGGGCTCGACCTCTTTGGATTGGACATAGCATTCTGCGTCCGACAGACGCTTTCTGAACTTTTCGGTGGAGTTGTTTGTCACCGATTCTTCGATATCTTCCAATGGTCGCAGATTTCTAGCAGAACGTACCAGACGCCGCCTGACTTTTCGAAGTTGAGCCCAACATTCGAAATTGGAATAGTTTGTAAATTTTCTGCTTCTACGTTTCATAACTATTCCTGAATAGATTTTACTTGCACTCTTCGAATGGCCCACCGCCTTCGTCGACATCCGTTTCTCCAAATTCGATAGGTCGTGCAGAATCTCAACGTCGCGTAATTTGAGTTTATCCGCACGCACACAACTCGCTATCAGTTTCGAGACAAAAACTTCACCCGAACGTATCTGTTCCGCTTGCTCCGGTGCCTCAACCCAACATTGAATGGCATGAACTACGTCACTTTCGTGTCTAACATTCAAACGATGTGAAGCTAGAAGTTGTGCCATTTCCTGAGCGCTTAGAGCTTCAAACGGAATGGCTTCTTCATCAATTGTTGTTATCCATCCGCCGATGTATTTCGTTAGTTCACCGAAACTGGTCAATATGTACCCTTCCACCAGGGTTGTAAACTCTCTGTCAATGGTAGTGAGCGTCCCACCATCTTCGTAGTCGCTAGATGTAGCCACTTTCCATAACAACCAACAGTTGCGTTGGTTGATAATTTGCCTTGCGTACTCGTGACAACGTTGTTTTAACTCCATCAGGCCATACAGAGCAGCTGTACGAAGGCCATACTGTAGCGTACAATAAGATCCACATTTCGTAAGGACCAATTCCTTAGTTTGAATGATTGTCTCGTTGTATTGTGGCGCTCCGGGATCCCATTCAGTATGTTCGCGAAACGGCTCTATCCGGCTGGTGTCGTTATCGCATGCTATATACTCTCGGTCTAGCCGTGTGATCCCACGAAGTTGGCAGTTGCCAATGTGGCACAAATGAACCGCAAAATACAACTCCAAAGTACGTTGTGGTTCGCAAAATACGGTCAAGTAGGATGAGTTCGTGCAATTCTCTATGCTGCCATGATGTGTGTTGCTTTCAGTTCCGCTTAATTGGGTTAACTCTCTAAAAGCTTCACTTTTCTTGGCCAACTTATAAGCATTGACTTGTATCGTCTGGTTTGTGTTGATTACCAGCAGCGTCCGGTTTAGCGCCCACTGCATCAGATATCCGTTGAGTAAATTCGATGGAAACGGTTTTGTATGACTGGCATGACATGTTGATATGGCACTGGTAGTGAGGCTATCTCCAGCCTCTGGACCTCGAGGAAACGATGATGTTTGCCCCACTACACCTCGGTTTATCATCGTCCTCGTAAGCCCAATGTGAGCATTGGATCAGCTGGTCTCGTGCCTGCGACCCTCACTATCTCGTGACTGTTCAAACATACAGGCCAATCAATACTGTCGCGCTTGTAAGCACTGTCCTTCTTTCTAGCTGTTCATAGTGGTAACCAGTGCTGGATAGGCGGAGGTATAAAGTTGTGAGCCAAGCAATAAATAATCGCTCCTATTTAGCTCTTCTGGAGCTCAATAAGCGCACAATGAGCAAGCTAATTGCCAAGTCGAATGGTCGAATCCCTCATTTAAAGAGGGCGTTAGATGCAATCCCCGTGCCACATTTATTCAGTCGTCACCATTCGGTTCCGCCTTTTGGTTAAAGGCAGAACTCCGTCCCTTTCTTCTCAGAATGTCGCCATTTACTTTTTAAATTGCTCTTCGAAATAAACCACTACCAATTCATTGGGGAGTGAATTTCTGAAACAGTTCTGAATTCAACAGATATCGGAGCAAACGGACAGAGAGAGGAGACAGCCCTGCGAGTTTCATTTCATCTCAGGTTTGCTGCCAGTGAATTCGTATACATCGGGCAGGCCTGTTGCTCCCAATCGACCCCTCTGGGCACTACACTCAACGCTATTATTGTCACCAGTTATTTTAACATATATGCGCTCCCTCTTGACTTCGGACCCTCATGTTTGGAATGCGTTTACCAAGGAACTACCGAGTACATCCGAACATTCTTTCGGTTAGGTGTGCGAACTGCATAAAATGCAACAGGTATAGTAGACGCTATTAGAGTCAGAGCCAGTTTAATGCAGAAATATCAAGCTCACAATAGAACAGGCTGGTTTTATTGGCAAAATTTTGTGCCGAATTTTCCGGCCAAGTTTTCTCATTTTTCCTGTTTTTTTTGCCCTAAGTTTCTCACTTGAGCCAAAAAATTGGGTAACTTCATATGTTCGCCTTGTTACGGTTCACGAAAGGGAACGAATCGGGATTGGAGCCAGCTAGTCCAATAAATGAATGGCGTGTTACGATGAACATGATTCTCTGAGGTAGGCGATGCATGTGAACGTGATGTTTTCCAAAAAACAGATCGACATCAGAATTGCCAGCAATAAATCAAGTTTACATATGCATCTGGCATCTGTTTTCTATTCTTGTAAAAACTACTCCCAACACATCACAGTGCTGTCGAAATGACGTTGGCTCACTCCTTTGGGTTCATGGTATTCTTCAACTGAGTGTGCTACATAAGGACTGTCTCCTGTTTCAGTTGGTAGGATATTCGAGATATCGCAGTATATCTTCATAAGAGTTCAAGTAGAACCTAAGGTTGACGGAAACTCGGTGACCCTGTCTACCTAATGAAACCCAAGAAGGGTGAAACCGGTCGTGGTCTGTCGAAGAGTTTTGATCAACATTGGGAGTAGGTACCTTGATGAAGATGTCGGATAATATTCGTCCGGGTCTCAATGCATATGCATTCAAAAACCATGTGAGCCTGAGTTGGTTCATTTCAGAGAGAGAGATGGCTCAATTGATTGTAGCGCGAATTTACTGACCGGAGGGTCCGTGGTTCGAACCCGACATCTGCCTCTCGACTTCCTCTGTCTAGGTTTGGGCAACCTGGCAGTTTCCCAGCCCTCGTGCTTCCTTCGGGTAGCATGACAGCTAGGCACCGGAAGGGTGTTACAGTTGAGCGATTTGGTTCATTTTAGGTCGTGAGTTCAAAGGGATCTGAAATATTTTCTCCAAGTAACTGAACTCCGTGATATCGTTGTGAGCATTGTACTAGGAAGGAGTGGTCCATTTTTTATCATGTGCACTCGATTTATCGGAGTATACTGACAGTTACACAAACGGGACGTCTGTGTTTCTTCAACGCTCTTCAGATTGCAGATTTATTTGTTGCCAATCACTGAAAACAGCATGTATTCTCCATATGATTGGCCATATGGAAGGTGACCGTTTTCCTTCCAACCACGAGTTTGCTAAATTTTGACTTGATTTTTCTCGCATCTGTTTTCGTTCCCGTGTTTGCTGTCGGTTAGCAACCGCGGTTAATTTTCCGTAACTCAAAGACTTGCCATATCTAATTTACAAATTTCTTTTTTCATCTTGTTTCCCTTCAGTTACTCGAAACTGCCCTAGTCAAATTGTACTTGAAACTAATCCGGGGTGGGAGGAAACCACAACTAACCGAGTTATTATTTTCAAATAATCGGCTCATCCCATCAGGTTTGGGTTGGGACTCCGAAAAGAGCGAAGCTGAACAGCGTGGGTTGGATTTGGTCAGCTTGATCTCCAGTCTGGTGCATATCGACGTGGATGATTTGACTGCCTACCTTGAGCAATCTTCAGAACACCATGCTCTTAGTTTGATCTACCAATGGCAAGGAAATGTGGCCGGAGCCTTGTCAATCTGGCAGAAGTACGTGTTCATCCTAGGTGTGACATTAGCATTCTTTTTTGGAAAGAAAATGGCAGGGTCGATTTCATAGCCAAATAATGCTGTATCAAACTCATTATCAAGTTTCTCACCCTTCTTTTTCCCAATGGGGCTTGTTTAGCTCTGAGCAAATAAACTGATTTTCCGTGAAACCACGAAGCTTTTCGGTTCTGAACAGCTGTGTTTAGTTTCCGCTTGCCCATCCGCCTATGATTTATTGAATTATTGAGCTTTATAGAATTCTAGCTGAGGGCAATCAGCATCACAGTGTACAGTTGTTTCACCGCACCTAGAGTTCATCGGTACCTCATGTCTTCTGCTTCTAAACATGCAGCAAGGAATTCTCCATGACGACTAATCCAAACACTCAAACCCTTGAGTTACCGTTACAAGGCGGCCAGTGTACAGGAAGTACTTGCATCTTATTGGGTGTTTATTGTTGTTTGTGGTAACTATAGCTTTTGTACATTATTTCTGAACAATTATTGTCTACCTTGAACCAGAATAAATTCGGTGTTGAGCTGATTTTAGCCCACAAGCCAGAATGTGTGTCCTTTTGGATCGTCCGCATTGACCTAACAATTTCGCCGTATTGAATCAGGTGGCATGCACCTATGACCTTAGTTTAATGGGTGAAAGAGGTCTTCCTCTCGATCGGCCCGTTTATAACTATCCATTCAGGCCCTATTACCTAGTGGTTCTTGTAAACGCACCGTTACAGCCGTCCATCGAAGTCAAAACAGCAGTGATGTAGGGATAGATTTACCTTAGAAGATCTATGTATAAACTAAACCCTACTGCCACGATTCCACTACCGTTACGGTGAAATTCACTGAACCATGCGATGTATATGGTAGGGGGAACCGGATTCAGTGGAAGTCAGTGGAAGTGAGAAGTTGATGGAATAACGAGCGACACAGTAAAAAAATTCACAAATATTGAGAGCGATGGGGTGCGCGACTGCACGAGGAATGAACTGTCGAACAACGCCCTGATAGCGTCACCTCGATTTGCGATGGGATTCTTTTAGCGAGCTAAGCTGGGCGGTCAACTCGACCACCTATCACTATTATTATTATTACTATTATTATTATATTATTATTTCATTATATTATTCGATAGAGATTTCATCCTTTCGGCTTGGCCAACCGATGCCGAAAAGCCAAGAAACACCCCACACCTGTTTCTTCCTTGTTGGGAATCGTCAGCAGTGCGCATACTATTATATTTTCATTATATTATTCGATAGAGATTTCATCCTTTCGGCTTGGCCAACCGATGCCGAAAAGCCAAGAAACACCCCACACCACACCTTTCCTTGTTGGGAATCGTCAGCAGTGCGCATCTCACGAAGCTCAAAAATTATCGTTATTTACTATAATGATTGTCACTACCACCGTAGTCGTCTTCACGGCCATCATCCCCATCATCTTCATCGCACCAATAAACTAAGCATCATTTCTGACGCCCTCTCTATTAAAAGCCAAAAACACAAAACAGTTTCTGATCAGTGCGACCGCCATTCGAAAATCTCACAGAGCGAGATATTGGAATGGCATTTCTCGGTCATTTCAGTTTATTTAGGCAAGTCTGTGCAGTAGAACAGGAAAAAGGTGGGAGCTCGACCGCCAAAAGTGCCTCCACCTCTAATACTTTTTTCAGCTACCCTGGAGAATCTGCCGACATGAATGCTATTAACGCCGGTTATAACAACCATCCACACCCTTCGGTCCTGAAAAGTGACCACCTCATGGGCCTAATGCACGAAACCAGATGCAACCGACAGCACCAAGACTTGTTACCCGACACGTAAATATCATTGCTCACCTAATGGGCTGCGTAAGAACTGGTGCTGAAATATGAGGCTATTCGGTTGAAGAGTATCATGGACCTGAGTCATTTGGGTCACTGGGTGACACTGTTTTTATTTGAAAACGAGTAATTCTTTCTAAATATATCCAGTTTGTTGTTCGAGCGTAGGTTGACGGGGAAACCAGACCTATCTCATGAAACCCACAGATCAAACGGTAGTTGGCTGTCGAAAAGTTTTCATCAACGCCATGAGTACTATCACATCAGAAGAACAAACTAAATCATTTTTCCCTATAATGCTGCGCACTAGAAGTTGATTTTTATCGGTCCCGTAAGTGGTCACTGGTCCTGTGCATACCAGTACACTGTTTACTGGTATTTCGCCAGTATCGTAGACGTATAGGTTCATGCATTTATTACCTTAAACGCCTGTGTAACTCCCGAACGTGCCAATGGTGACCAATAAAGACGCCGCTACAACAGCGAATTCGAATGCAGGTATGGAAGGTGTACTGTTAAGCTTGATACACTGGACACAATTCAGCCACGCTACGACCGTTTCTCAGGAGTTTAAACGACAAATCCTTCTTTTCAGGTCCGGCCTTCTGATCTATGGGGTAATGTTTTGGTATTCCGGCAATATGGTACATCCGTCCAACTTATTGCAAAGGTTGAAGGTGTGCTCATTTCAAAGTCATCCACACTTTTCAATTGCATCGCACGTGCGACCTATGCATATGGATGAGTTTACCTTTACAGCCCTGTGGTGCACTAGTTCTTTTATCATCCCAAATTGATCTCACAAGAATTGGTGTGTGCATTAGCTGTTTTGGGGTGTTCTTTGTTTGATCCTTGTGAGCCTCCTGAAGGATTTGATGAGCACGAGGCCGCGAGAATTCAACTTGAAAATGCTAATTGCAACGATGGGACGGTGAGAATTGTCGACCCAATAACCACGTGATCGATCTTGCTGCATCTGTCTGGAAAAGTGTGTAGTCTATTGATTTTCATGACCACTCACATCCTACCAGATATTCTTTTGGGTTTTGTGGTTATGTAAGTAAAAATCATATTTTGAAACGATGACCCTCTTGAACACAGAATTATTTCCCCCAAGCACTCATGTGTTACGCAGTATAATAACGGTAATGCCTCAGCTCAGTTTTCTATCCGATTCTCACAAACTGCCGTTTTCCACAGAAGGACCACTAAGGATAAACAAATACCCATATGCAGGTCAGAGGCCCACGTACAGCGCGTCGTCCAACAGTAACATTCTGGAGATTCGGACGCCTTCTGGATGCCTGGATGCTGGACAGGCTAACGGCCTTAGCTTTCGATCAATCGCGTGCGAGTTAGGCCTAGCAAGACCTTATTGCGAGTGCTGATGTGTTTTTGGCGTTGGATTCCGCCGAACACTCGTTTCGTTAATAATGACCTGTCTGGCGTGTTCTGGTGTGATTTGTGTGGGGGACTGGTTGTTGCAGTCTAGTGTGAAACAAGCTCCCTTCAAATACTCATTACCTCAATGTTTCTATTCTATCTCTATTAATGACCGTTGCTGTAAGCCTGGGAGGAAACCACAACTAACCGAGTTATTATTTTCAAATAATCGGCTCATCCCATCAGGTTTGGGTTGGGACTCCGAAAAGAGCGAAGCTGAACAGCGTGGGTTGGATTTGGTCAGCTTGATCTCCAGTCTGGTGCATATCGACGTGGATGATTTGACTGCCTACCTTGAGCAATCTTCAGAACACCATGCTCTTAGTTTGATCTACCAATGGCAAGGAAATGTGGCCGGAGCCTTGTCAATCTGGCAGAAGTACGTGTTCATCCTAGGTGTGACATTAGCATTCTTTTTTGGAAAGAAAATGGCAGGGTCGATTTCATAGCCAAATAATGCTGTATCAAACTCATTATCAAGTTTCTCACCCTTCTTTTTCCCAATGGGGCTTGTTTAGCTCTGAGCAAATAAACTGATTTTCCGTGAAACCACGAAGCTTTTCGGTTCTGAACAGCTGTGTTTAGTTTCCGCTTGCCCATCCGCCTATGATTTATTGAATTATTGAGCTTTATAGAATTCTAGCTGAGGGCAATCAGCATCACAGTGTACAGTTGTTTCACCGCACCTAGAGTTCATCGGTACCTCATGTCTTCTGCTTCTAAACATGCAGCAAGGAATTCTCCATGACGACTAATCCAAACACTCAAACCCTTGAGTTACCGTTACAAGGCGGCCAGTGTACAGGAAGTACTTGCATCTTATTGGGTGTTTATTGTTGTTTGTGGTAACTATAGCTTTTGTACATTATTTCTGAACAATTATTGTCTACCTTGAACCAGAATAAATTCGGTGTTGAGCTGATTTTAGCCCACAAGCCAGAATGTGTGTCCTTTTGGATCGTCCGCATTGACCTAACAATTTCGCCGTATTGAATCAGGTGGCATGCACCTATGACCTTAGTTTAATGGGTGAAAGTGGTCTTCCTCTCGATCGGCCCGTTTATAACTATCCATTCAGGCCCTATTACCTAATGATTCTTGTAAACGCACCGTTACAGCCGTCCATCGAAGTCAAAACAGCAGTGATGTAGGGATAGATTTACCTTAGAAGATCTATGTATAAACTAAACCCTACTGCCACGATTCCACTACCGTTACGGTGAAATTCACTGAACCATGCGATGTATATGGTAGGGGGAACCGGATTCAGTGGAAGTCAGTGGAAGTGAGGATTTGATGGAATAACGAGCGACACAGTAAAAAAATTCACAAATATTGAGAGCGATGGGGTGCGCGACTGCACGAGGAATGAACTGTCGAACAACGCCCTGATAGCGTCACCTCGATTTGCGATGGGATTCTTTTAGCGAGCTAAGCTGGGCGGTCAACTCGACCACCTATCACTATTATTATTATTACTATTACTATTATATTATTATTTCATTATATTATTCGATAGAGATTTCATCCTTTCGGCTTGGCCAACCGATGCCGAAAAGCCAAGAAACACCCCACACCTGTTTCTTCCTTGTTGGGAATCGTCAGCAGTGCGCATCTCACGAAGCTCAAAAATTATCGTTATTTACTATAATGATTGTCACTACCACCGTAGTCGTCTTCACGGCCATCATCCCCATCATCTTCATCGCACCAATAAACTAAGCATCATTTCTGACGCCCTCTCTATTAAAAGCCAAAAACACAAAACAGTTTCTGATCAGTGCGACCGCCATTCGAAAATCTCACAGAGCGAGATATTGGAATGGCATTTCTCGGTCATTTCAGTTTATTTAGGCAAGTCTGTGCAGTAGAACAGGAAAAAGGTGGGAGCTCGACCGCCAAAAGTGCCTCCACCTCTAATACTTTTTTTCAGCTACCCTGGAGAATCTGCCGACATGAATGCTATTAACGCCGGTTATAACAACCATCCACACCCTTCGGTCCTGAAAAGTGACCACCTCATGGGCCTAATGCACGAAACCAGATGCAACCGACAGCACCAAGACTTGTTACCCGACACGTAAATATCATTGCTCACCTAATGGGCTGCGTAAGAACTGGTGCTGAAATATGAGGCTATTCGGTTGAAGAGTATCATGGACCTGAGTCATTTGGGTCACTGGGTGACACTGTTTTTATTTGAAAACGAGTAATTCTTTCTAAATATATCCAGTTTGTTGTTCGAGCGTAGGTTGACGGGGAAACCAGACCTATCTCATGAAACCCACAGATCAAACGGTAGTTGGCTGTCGAAAAGTTTTCATCAACGCCATGAGTACTATCACATCAGAAGAACAAACTAAATCATTTTTACCTATAATGCTGCGCACTAGAAGTTGATTTTTATCGGTCCCGTAAGTGGTCACTGGTCCTGTGCATACCAGTACACTGTTTACTGGTATTTCGCCAGTATCGTAGACGTATAGGTTCATGCATTTATTACCTTAAACGCCTGTGTAACTCCCGAACGTGCCAATGGTGACCAATAAAGACGCCGCTACAACAGCGAATTCGAATGCAGGTATGGAAGGTGTACTGTTAAGCTTGATACACTGGACACAATTCAGCCACGCTACGACCGTTTCTCAGGAGTTTAAACGACAAATCCTTCTTTTCAGGTCCGGCCTTCTGATCTATGGGGTAATGTTTTGGTATTCCGGCAATATGGTACATCCGTCCAACTTATTGCAAAGGTTGAAGGTGTGCTCATTTCAAAGTCATCCACACTTTTCAATTGCATCGCACGTGCGACCTATGCATATGGATGAGTTTACCTTTACAGTCCTCTGGTGCACTAGTTCTTTTATCATCCCAAATTGATCTCACAAGAATTGGTGTGTGCATTAGCTGTTTTGGGGTGTTCTTTGTTTGATCCTTGTGAGCCTCCTGAAGGATTTGATGAGCACGAGGCCGCGAGAATTCAACTTGAAAATGCTAATTGCAACGATGGGACGGTGAGAATTGTCGACCCAATAACCACGTGATCGATCTTGCTGCACCTGTCTGGAAAGGTGTGTAGTCTATTGATTTTCATGACCACTCACATCCTACCAGATCTTCTTTTGTGTTTTGTGGTTATGTAAGTAAAAATCATATTTCGAAACGATGACCCTCTTGAACACAGAATTATTTCCCCCAAGCACTCATGTGTTACGCAGTATAATAACGGTAATGCCTCAGCTCAGTTTTCTATCCGATTCTCACAAACTGCCGTTTTCCACAGAAGGACCACTAAGGATAAACAAATACCCATATGCAGGTCAGAGGCCCACGTACAGCGCGTCGTCCAACAGTAACATTCTGGAGATTCGGATGCCTTCTGGATGCCTGGATGCTGGACAGGCTAACGGCCTTAGCTTTCGATCAATCGCGTGCGAGTTAGGCCTAGCAAGACCTTATTGCGAGTGCTGATGTGTTTTTGGCGTTGGATTCCGCCGAACACTCGTTTCGTTAATAATGACCTGTCTGGCGTGTTCTGGTGTGATTTGTGTGGGGGACTGGTTGTTGCAGTCTAGTGTGAAACAAGCTCCCTTCAAATACTCATTACCTCAATGTTTCTATTCTATCTCTATTAATGACCGTTGCTGTAAGCCATTTATGGGCATGCTTCCTCCGACATCATGAATTGCTAGGTCTATTATTTAAATTGACTGTTTCTACATATGTGGTGTTTTACTTCATCTTGAATAGATTGGCTTACGGAGAACTTGTGGATGTAAACTTTCCTGGCGTGGATTTCTACATCGCCGTTTTATCCTGGTACGTTACACAATTTCTTTCCGTTGCGAAAATGTTACGTGATTCTTTTCAACAAGTTCTTCAATGTGATATCGTAAAGCCAGTGACCAATCGTATAGTACAGTCATGTTCATGTTGGCTCAAAAAGAAGGAGCCGGTTTTGGTGGATGGTCGCGCGGCAAACTTTAAGGTTGAAAATACGGACTCATGGTTCACCTGAAACGCACCTGTGTCCACACAAGGTAGCCACCCCATCTATGTGTCCACATTTATCGTCTTTCAGTCCACTGCCCTCGAACCGCTAGCCGAAGGTGTCCAACGCGTTTAGCTCTCCATGTGATTAGCTAATCCAACTCCCAATTTTTTGTTGGATCGCTTTCGTGTATTTACCACAAGGATCCGACAGCTCGTTGTACGTGCATCTTGGCTTGGTGGTCATGATTAACCACAACGTGGAATCCACGCGGAGGCGACGGTTTGAGCTAGATCCAACCAAAACTCGTTGCTGCGTTAGCATCGTTGACCTACACTCCAAAGTTTCCATTCCTAAGAGCGTGAGACCTCAAATGGCTCGAAGGCAGTAAAATCCGGAGCAGACTCGTACAAGTCTACCTCTTCTATTTTCTCGGAAATTCCATTGTTTCAGCATATTCCTCTGGTTGACATCCAACTGCCTTTGTTTTTGACTTTACATCAACTATGCCCTCATGTTTTTTTTTCTCTAGCTGTTCATTTTGGGCCTGTGTGCGCTTCCCCCAGACACTATTATCGTAACGCTTTCAAATTTACCATAGGTTGGCTTCGCCTAACGCTGAACCAATCAAACTGTGGTCAGTCACCGAAAATGAGCAACAGGATACTGCCTCGTCGCCACACATATCTGAACCATCTGTTTATACGGAACTGATATGGCAGCATCTGTGTCAAAGTCTGGAGCCCGAACGTCCAAAGGAAATCGCGGAGAAGCTTTTATTTGCCCTGCCCTACTTACCCAGCGATGACTATAGCTCGCAATGGGATGATATTTTACTCGACGAATCTTGTTCCCAAGCAACGACGGATGTTTCGCTCGCACCTTCCCAGTGCCTGACTCCCACGCACATTCTTCGCAGACTCATTCCACAGTATGTGGACCTTGGTATCAAATATTTGCATCACCTCATCTATGTGCATCTTGATATGGTATGTTCACCCATCTTTCTGTACTTTTGTTTTTCTTTTTTCTCCGTTCCATCCCCCGGCTGTATTCACAACCTAGGAGTGTGTGTTTTCTATCGTCCATTTTCTCGTTGTTCATCCTTTCAGACACCTCGATATCACACATTACTGGCACAAATTTACCTGGATGTACTTACAGGGAGACTCCGTGATGAGCCATCGGCCGTCAACTCAAAAGCACGGTTCATTCAGTTGAGGTTGGTCAGTTGTAACATTTACCCACTTGCTCACTCTCTTACTGAATCTGGTGCCAGAAAATCTTGGACTTGTTTAGGATGGGCTTGCAGCCCTGCTTGAATGTTACAATAACGATGGTTTATTGCACAACTCGCCAGTATATTCCTTATCACTTCAGCTGTCAAACCATCTGGCGACTGGTCTTCGGTATCTGTTTCCTTTAATTCTATTAAGTGATTAGAGAGGCCCCGAGAGACTGTTCATCTGAACCTTCAACTATCAGCTAGATACGACAGTGTATATCTCCAATTCGAATGCACAAGCCTTGGGCTTACTTTTTAGATGCGTTACATTTGTTTGCGGTGTCTGTTGCTGTCTTGGCGTAATACTCCATCGGACGACCTTCCTATACAAGATCACTAACGCGGATACATATGTCGTTTGCTAAGACGAAACTTTTGCTTATTTCAGAGTTACGGTTCATGGAGTTTTTAAAAACACCTTCAAATCTTCCATTTTCTTTCTTTTTGGCTTGTCCTTCGGGTCCAAATACCCCTCATAGGCGGTTGGCCACTTACTCAAATTAAGGTGTATGGGGACCTTACACGACTGTTGCTTTTATTTTTGAATACCATATATGCAGTCTATTGTGGCAAAGACTTTTTATACATTTAGATACATATGTCGTTTGCTGCTAAATTCGCAAACATCAAAGTTCAAACCGCAACTTGTTCAGTTCTAGCAAGTGTAATGCAGGTAGGTACTTTTTTCGCCACTTTAGCTCATTTAGTTGTCGCAGGTGTTTCCCCTTCTGCTGCCAATATTGGACGTGCTTTTTGGACCAGTTAATCTACTATGTCCTCCAGAAACCTGAGCCTTCGAATGAAATCTCATTGTCTGAGGTCAACTGTGCCCGGGTGTCTGGGCGTTTCGAGGTGTAAGCACATAGTATGTGGTTACCTAAAGGCCCACGGCCGTCGGATCCCCCATCATAACAGGCGTAAACGCCTTAATTGCGTACTCACTCACTTATTGGCTGCTCGAATCCGGTCATGCCCTGTAAACTATCGGTTAGTTTACTGCTAATTACTCTATTGTGTCTTACTCAACTGTGTACATTGATAACCTCTTCACTGTATTGTGCTGGTCACTCATTCAACAACACATGATTGTTTTCAATTCGCTTGTTTCTATCTTAGGAGAGACTTCTGCCATCTTCTACGTCATTCAAACAACTATTCCGTTTCCAAACTGCTGGAAAGGGTGAGACAATGTGACGTGCCAAACGAATTCGCCTATGAGTTGGCTATCCTACTGGGAAAGGTAATGATCGTTTCCTTCCTAGCTCGTGACGCTCATTCCCTTTTTCGTCGTTATAAGTGATTTTTTGCTCTTCACAACTGTAACAACCCGGTTCCATTGACTTACCACAAAGTTGTATCCAGTTACTCAGGCGTTTTACAGGTGCTACCAGGAACGGGTGCTCAGCTTACTCCTTAGTGGGGCCCGACTTCATTCTAGTTATCAGAAGTTTACAAAACGACCTGTCGATTTCAGTTCTTCCTAATGTACTCTGGTTCCTGATAAAATTTCGTGCCACCATAGGCTACAACTCTCCTACAATGTCTCTACTGTTTTCAAACATTTGATCTCAAGCTGCACAACACTCCCTTTTTCTGTGCAAGAGTTTTAGTTTGAAAATCGTGGGCTGGTAAGATAATCACGTGGTGTTAGGTTGTGCCCTATGCATTGCTCGCGACTATACTAATATCAGACGTGGTAACACTCTTCTTCGTACTACACTTCTGCGCTTTCGGTACGTTTTCGGCTCCATCGGTACGTTTAGTTCACAGGTATCAAAAAGAACTGTGCAAATGTAAGACTACTCTGTCGGAAAATGCATTGAATTGGCTCTATTCTTATAAATTTCACAACCGACAGCCTTTGTCCTCACCGCCAAGTTATTGTGGCAATCTCTGGTGAAATATTTTATCCCCCACCTGTGGTTATTACCCTGTGTAGTTCTGCAAATTCTAAGGGTCTACACACTTTTGTTCTTACGGCCGTTGCGTTGAAAGTGGGCAGATTACTGAGAATAACAAACCGGCAAGGTGGTCGCGAAAAAAATCGTGGTTGAACATGTCATCATCTGATAGTTTTCAGTCTTTAAACTCCATGAGAGAAATAAGACACCTTCTACATCTCTGTCTACACTTATCTTGCACTTTCTTTATCATCCTATGCAGAACGATCAGCACCGTGATGCACTAGATATTTTGGTAACTCAGCTGTCGGATCTTCCAGCCGCTTTGTGTTATTGTCTTAGCTATATGAATGAAGATGAGACCTGTGTAACGGGAGGCAACAATGGGAAATGGGTGCCTCAATACACCTATACAAAGAAATGGAAGGTACTCCAATTGGCATCGAACGAACATCCACTGGACCACGATGTGGTGGAGCGTGCCCCCGAGGTGTTCACCATACTTGTGGAACTGTGCTTCAAAAGGTAACTGGTTTAACAGAATGATAGACCAGTTCTTCGTTTGGCATATTTTTTGGAAATATCTTTGGGGGATCACCATACTGAACTGTGCTTCAAAAGGTAACTGGTTTAACAGAATGATAGACGAGTTCTTCGTTTGGCATATTTTTTGGAAATATCTTTCTTTGGAACCAAGATTCAAAAGACCAAGTAACCGATCCAGTTCTCTTCGCTTCTGTCAGGTAGTACATCACTAAGAAGAAACGTTGGTGATCACAACTTCAATCTAATGACGTTATCTCATCACCTAACAGCACATATCTTGGTGACTTCTGACGAAGTGAGAGACTGTGACGTGAAAAAACACGAAATAAAACTACCGAAGTGATTGTTCCGCCTTCATGTCGTACAATGTTGATAGACTGTCGTCTTTCTTTCAAATTGCTCCCACGTCAGCCGTGTGACTGATAAAAGTAGTCCTTCACCAAATACACTCATTTGCTTATTAGCATGGTTTTCACGAGGGACTCAACTGGATCACTCGTGTATGCCAGTCTTCAACTGAATATGCTGCACAAAGGCCGCTTCATGTTTTAATTTGATATGCAAATGGGTGTACCTGTCGAAATCTGTCCAATTTGAATCAATTGGAAAAGGTTTGGAACCGATTGAGAAGTCATCGTTTCAGAAGAGCTTGATAAACAATCGGTAGTTTTTATTTGAGCAACGTTTCGCTTTTGACACAAAAGCTTCATCAGGCCAAGTGAGCAGGTCACCAAATTGGCCAGGTTATAAGG